TAAAACTCACTCACATCCTCTCTAGTTCTGTTCATGGAATTTGTATTTTCATACCTCAATTATTATTATTACAGTATCTATGTTTGCATTATATGTATATGCATATTTGCTTTCAAAATGAGTGTTTGCATCTGTACACACTTTTATAACAACTATTTAGACTTGGCTCTTCCATGGTTTCTCTGGTCCCTGCTTAGCTGTCTTTATCATGACCTCTGCTACACAGTCAGCATGGTCCTTGGTTGGTTGATCTAGGGCTTCCAGAATGAACTTCAAGAAGTGCAGCTAGTACATCCTGTGAGCCTCACATACTTGAGAATGTCTCCCAGTTGTGCCATTGTCTCTGAGATAGAATGCTGTGGAGAAGTCGGGTGGCCTGGTTTTTGCACCTTTGTGGGAAATTTGATTTTTTTTTCTGACCTAGATACTTGTAGATTTTCCCCTGTATGCTTCTACTTCAAAACTTTTGCCAAAAATGTGTCTAGGGCTGACTCTCTTTTTGCCAGTTCTGCTAGAATGTAGAAAGTCTGGTTTGTCTGCACATAAAGTCTACACTTAGGAAATTATTGATTTTGTAGTTCAAAAATGGTTGAATATCGGCAATTCTGTATGGTTCAATCTAGTAGGTCTCCCTTGGGTCCACTAAAGTTTGTCTCCTATTTTTTTTTAAAATAAACTTTCTTGAAAGTAGCTTTAAATTTACAGAAAATTACAAAGATAGGATATGGAGTTCCCCTATGCCCCTCACCCAGTTTCCCCTTTTATTATTATTTTCCCCTTCTACTTATTATTTTACCTTAAGTAGCACCATTGTTACAATGAATGTGCCAATATTGGTATATTATTATTAGCTAAAGCCCGTACTTAATTCAGATTTCCTTAGTTTTTTCTCCTCTAATATCCTTTTTGTACTCCTGGACCTTGTCTAGGAAACCACATTGTATTTAACTGTGGTGTCTCCTTTTGCCTCAGATATTCCTTATTCTTGAAGATCTAGACAATTTTGAGTAGTATTGGCAGGTATTTTGTAGACCGGACTGTAACAAGAATTTTCCTGAAGTTAGATTGGGGTTAGATTGGTTAGATTAGGGTTTTGGGTTTTGGGGAGGAAGACCACAGAAGTCAAGTGCCCAGCTCATCACAACATATCAGGGATTACATTCCATCAACACAACCCATCACTGGTGATGTTGACCTTGATCATTTGGCCAAGGTAGGGTTTGCTGGACTTCTCTTCTGTCAAGTCACTCTCTTCCCCCATCTTTGTATATAGTCTTTGGAAGGAAGTCACTTAACAAGTGGGCATTTAAGCTCCACCTCCTCGTGCATAAAATACCTAGATAAATAATCTGGAATTCCACAGCCTGGTAGATGGATTCCCGCCCCCCCCCCCATCACGACCACGTATTTATCAAATCATTCATGTAAGAATGGGTGTGAATGGATATTTGCTTTATACGTTGGGTTATAACCCAGCACTATTATTTTATTGCTGAATTGTCCCAGCTTTGGCCACTGGGAGCTCTTTGCGTTGGCAGCTGAGCTCCTTTGACAGAATCCATCAGGGCGTGTGGATGTGTTGAGCACCTCATGACTTCCTGCTGCTACAAGACATTCCAGGGTCATCTTGTGTATTTCCTGTCTCCGCCCCAGAATCAGCCATTTCTCCAAGGAGCTCTGGTTCCCTTTAATGAAGAAAGATATTAGAACCAGCTAGGTATGCTGATTGCCACAAGCTATTTTGCTTGTCTCATTCATCTGCTTTTCTTCTAGGCTTTCTCTTCTTCAATATCCATAACTGCTATTTTCTCTCAGTAGATTGATCTCTTTGACTATTTCCTCTGAATTCTGGGAAAGCCTCTCAAGCTTGTCCTCTTTATTATTGACTTTCCTTTCCTGGGCATTAACTTTGCTCTCTACTCCTTGCAGTGCAGCTTTGATCCTGCTATTTGTTGTATTATTTTCTTTCTTGTCCTCTTTATCTCCTTCTTTTTCTCCTCCACAGGGAAGCAGAGATACGTTTTTTCTCTGAGCTTCCCAAGAGTTACTTTTCTCTGTCCCTGAGTATTTTATCCTCGTGGTCTGTGTTGGATTTGTTTATTCAGACTCAGTGTTTCATTTGTACACTCTCAACAACTTTATTGAGCAATTTAGGTTTGGCTGAGACTGTCAGAAACGGCTGTCTCCTAGGGTTTCCATTCTAGTGGGAGGAGACAGATGATAACACAATTTGGTAAAATTAATAGCAGGTCGGATGCTGTTATGCGCTGAATTGTGTTCCCCAAAGATATGTTGAAATACTAAGCCCCTTGTACCTCAGAATGTGACCTTATTTGAAAGAGTTGCTACAGACAGTAATTAGTTAAGATGAAGTCATGTGGCGCCAGAGATGCTTTTAATCCTACATGACTACTGTCCTAATAAGAAGATAAAGTGAAGAGAAAGGCGGGGGTGGGGGATGCCATTTGAGGCAGAGATTAGAATCAAGTCAGGAGCACCATGGACTGTTGACATCTGAGCTCAGAGGAGCCCCAGAGCCTTCAAGAGAGCATGACTTCGCCAGCACCTTGATCTTGCACTTCTGGCCTCCCAAATACGAGAGAATAAATTTCTGTCATTTTTAGCCACCTAGTTGGTGTCACTTTCTTATGACAACCCCAGGAAATGAATACAGCTGTCTATCAATGAACTGGAGAAAACAGGCAGAAAGGGGGATGTTCGAGGACAGGGATTTAGATTTATTTATTTATTTTTCTCTTTCAAATATTTACACACATTCAAAATGATATTCATGGCATCTTCAAAATTTTGGCCAAGACTCAAAAAAATGCATGTAAAGTTTGGAATGTATCCACATAGACAGAAAGCTGACCCCAACAGTAATTGGGGCAGATACCCAAGAAAGGGCTGGGACTGAGATTTAAATAAAGCTATCAGGGAGGACAGCTGAGCAAAGAGGAGAGGCTGGAAAGGGAGGAGTCTGGGGAAGAGCATGCCACACAAAAGGAATCCTTTGCCCATAGGCTGAGCATGCTGCCCTATTTGCCCTGCTCTCTCCCTGGCACGTTACGTGTTGTCTGAGAATCCCACCTCAGAACCACTGCTGTTCCGTGTAGTGGAGAAGCTGGACCTGTGTGTTGCCTGGAAATCCCTGCCCTGATCCAAGCTGATCAAGGTTGAATTCCAACCCATTGCTTTTTTCTGGGTGACTCGGGTAAGTTCTTTAACCTCTGTGAGCCTCAAGCTCCCCATCTATGAAATAGGGAGACAAAAATGCCCTCTGCCCCAGGCTCTGGGGAGGACTGAGCGAGTAAGTGAAGCTCAAGGGCTCTGCATGGGGCCTGGCCCTTGGTCAGTGACCAGGAAAGGCTGCTGCTATTTTCATCATAATTATCACTCCTGCCTCTGCTGGCCAGTTGGTGGATGAGCAGAGTGCCCAGTTCCATCCCTAATTTCTTGTGTACTTTCAACTTGTGCTTCTGCTCCACGCACAAAGGCTCTTTAAAGTTTAAAGCCTACAGAACTCTGTTGGGCCTCTGAGGCACAGGAAGCTATTTCAAGTGCCCACCCTAGGGAGACGCTGCATGTGGCAGGAGAATGTCAGCGCAGCACTAGGCCTCTCCCTCCAGCCCCTCCCCTCTGCCCAGATGCTCTCTGGAGCGTGGGCACCCCACCCCTCAGAGACTTGTAGGTCCCACAAGCCTGCAAGGAGGGAGCTCGGGCAGATCCAGTCTCGTCACCTGGGTTGCTGGCAGGCTCTCCCGACTACAGTTTCCCCATCCCACGGGCTCCCAGAGATGAAGCAGATTTATTGTCTGCTCCTAAGCAAGTCACAAACAATGGGTGCTCTGCTTCCTTTGCTCCCCATCTCTAACCTTCAGTCTCCCCATCTGTGAACTGAGGGTTTTGGAAGACAAGAGCGCCAAACTGCCATCTGGTCCCACTGGTGAAACCTGGGACCCACCCAAGATAGCAGGGACATGTCAGCAGTTAGCATCTGGAGTCTCCCTGCCAATGACTTTCAATGTGGCAGGGAAATGCAAGAGCACAAAAGCGGGAGTTGACAGTGATAACTATGTCTGTGTCTGCTTACAAAGCCTGAGCAGCCTTCTTGAGTTCAGCATTGACGGCTTATGGAAACTGATACCAAACTCTATTTCCAACCCCAGTATCTTGCCCTTATCCCGACACTACAGCCTCAGTGGAATTCCTGCAGCTCTCAGGCACCAGGCAAGCACAGCTGTCCTGCCCTCTGACCTTTGCCCTCCACCCCTGTAGGGCTGAAGCCCCCATCCCTCTCCTCCTCTATAGCCAGGGGCAAAAGCTGCCCTCTTTGGAGGCTTGTCTGAGCCCTCTCCCTGGGGGGGGATAGGTCACTCCCTCCCTTTGTTCCCTATTCCCTTTGTTTTTGTTTCTCCTGGGAGGTATTTGCCTCCCTTACCAGCAGTGAGCCACCTGAGGACAGAGGACAGGCTGATGGCACCCTTGATCCAGGGCAGGGTCTGGCACAAACAAGATGTTTGACTGTTGGCAGCGGGAACTACCAGTGGCAGTTAGAGATGGTTCACTCCCCGACAAATTTGGCCCATTCTGTTTCTGGAATGCGTGTCAGTGGAGGGGTCAGGAGCTGGGCTTTAGGTCCCCAAACAGAGCTTCTTTGCTGTGGTTTTTGGCAAGATAGTTCCTCTCCTTGAGCCGCTCCACAATTGAGAAGGTAATAATTCATGCCTGGCCTGCTGCTCAGGCTGGGTTGACAGATACAAAACTGAGTAAGCTCTCCCTGGCTGTGCACCAGACAATGGGACCTTAGGCCAGTGCTAGACCACAGGCAAGAGGAAAGCCAAGAAAATCCAGCCCCTTAGACCTTTCCTGCCATGCCCCTGATGCCAAGGAGGAAATGAAACAGCCTGTTCTCAAGATTCTTTCATAGTCTGAGGATTAGGGAACCACATGTGCATGGTGACCTGCCTGTCCTCCAGGCCGTGGCCAGCTGCACCTACCTTAAGTTTTTTGACACTGGTGCAGGGATCATTGGAGAAGCTCTCGGTATCTGAAATCTCGATGTCTTCACCATACAGGACCCCAGTCAGGTCATTCCTCACCTGAGAGCAAAGAGAAAGCAGAGGGTAGGTGTGCAGGCAGCGATAGGAAGGGCCAGTTGAGCAAGGGCATTCTGGGTGAGCAGCTCAAATGGGAAGGGATTTTTCTCCACCAACATGCATAAGAGTTTTCTTGCAGGCATGGAGTTTTCTTCATTATGAATGAGAGTGCCCAGGAGAATTTGTGGAGGCTCTGGTCCCACCCTAAGATGATGCATGAGCACAAGGAGGCCAGGCATGGAAAGGGCTTGTTAAAGTTGTTCAGGAATTTCCTGGAAGCATCCGGACAAGCATCTAAATCTCTAGACTTTTGAGCTGGTGTCTCTCTGCCATATCATATTGTCTCCAAATCAGACTATTCAAATACATCTTTGTTTATATTTTGTGTTATTTATTTGCAATATTACTTTAGGTCTAGGGCAAGGAAATAGTCAAACATTCAGATAGACAATGCAGAACAGAGGAAAGAATAAGTGGGACATGGAAGCGGCCTACAGTGTTAAACATAACTACATGTCTACTGATGCGTGGAATGATTAATATCTTTGTGCTTGGAAAGCATAAGACTACAAACTCCAGTGTTTACTGGGACCAGCCACCGGTGAAGCAGTCTCGTGGTTGCTATTAGGGAGTGGTAGGGACTGTGGCAAACTGGGAACCACATGTGCCATTCCAGATGGCAGCTGCTACTCAGCTCTCATCATGCCATGCCCACACATTCATTCAGAATCACCAGAACTGATCTTGGAGAGGGAAATCAGAAACCTATGTGTTTAAAATATAAGATTCTCTACATTTTAAAATGTTGGTACTACAGCCTTGGTATTTGCCTCATAATGACATTTTGGTCAATGACAGACTAAATATATGGTGGTAGTCCCTAGATACTCTAGACATGTAGTAGGCGCTACCATCTAGGTTTGTATAAATACGCACTATGACATTCACACAAGGACAAAATCCCCTACTGACACATATCTCAGACTGCATTCCCATCATTAAATGATACATGACTGTGTTTTTATTTATTTATTTGTTTTAGCAAAGTAAGGACCAAATAAATCTGAAGTTGGATCTGGCCCATGTCATGGCTGTGCACTCCTGACATGAATGAATGGAAACTGGATGGTTTTAGTAGAAAGAAGAAGGAGGGGGTTGGGGTTTGCATATTTCAGGTCCTGCTGTCACTAAATTCCAGTGACATTGGCCTCTATGTGTGACCCTCCCCTTCTCAGGATTTCAGTTTCTTCTTCTTTTAGAGAAGATGATCTAAAAAGCATTTCTTGTTCATATACACTAGGAAGACTATTAATAAAAAAAAAAAAAGAAAAAAAGCCAGAATACAATAAGTGTCAGCAAGGATGTCAAGAAATTGGAACGCTTTTTTACTGAACACAGAATTACCACATGACCCAGCAATATTTCTGGGTACATATCCCAAAAAACTTAAAGCAGGGTCTCAAAGACATATTTGTACATCCATGTTCATAGAAGCCTTATTCACATTAGCCAAAAGATATAAGTAACCCAAAATGTTTCCACCTATGGATGAATAAACAAACTGTGATATATTCATATCATGGAATATTACTCAGCCTTTATAATTGAAATTATAACACATCTTACAATATGGGCGAACTCTGAATTCATATCATCTGAAATAAGCCAAATACCAAAGGACAAATATCATATGTTTCCACTTATATGGGGTTCCTAGAATAATCAAATTCATAGAGACAGCAAGTAGAATGGGAGCTAGCAGGTGCTGGGGGAGATAGACTGGGAAATTATGTCTAACAGGTGGAAAGTTTCAGTTTGGGGTGATGAAAAAGTGGTGCTAGTTGCAAAACAATATGAGTGTTTGTAATGCTACTTTAAAATGGTTGAAATGGTCAATTTTATGTTTTGTATATTTTGCCACTTATCTCAACAAGTGGTGGGCTTCCAATGAATATATCAATATTTCATTTAGGGCCAAATTTAAATAATTTAAATTAAATTTAAATTTAAATAACTTGGCCTTAAATGTCACAGGATGGGAAGCCTGGGAAGCCACCACTACTGGAGAAAAGGGGATTTCAATGGGAACGGCTGCATTTTCATTCTTTAGAAGAAATATGAGGGGCCTCCCTGGTGGTGCAGGGGGTTGAGCGCAGCACTGTGAGGCTGTCTGCAGCCTCTGCAGTGGGGGTGCCATCCCTGGCCGTCCAGGGAGCTACCCACATGGCATGGCAAACCTTTCCTGGCTCACCCTCTACTCCCCTCAGCAGTGCTTTTGGTCCGTCTGCCTGTTCTGCTCCCCGCTCTGCCTCTGGTGAGTCCTCTCACCCTCCCGCACATCTGGCCTGTACCCTGGTTCTTGTGTAAACAAAATAAATCTTAAAAAAAATTAAAAAAGAAAAAAAAGAAAAGAAATATGAGGCAAATAGAGCAAAATGTGAACTTTATTAATTCTAGGCAGTAAGTCATGAGCATTTGTTGTTCTGTGCACTTCTGAAGGCTTGAAACACTGAGATAAATATTTTATAAGAAGAATGAAATGCCGCCATCAGGTGACCCTAGCCCACTTTAATTTTTATGTCTATTTTGATGGAAGATTGGGAAAGAGTTGACTTTGCCATTACAATTTACTTCTGCTGCCTCAAATCCTTTTTGGGTGCAAGCAGGCCCCCATCAGGGTGTGCGGAGCAACAACTGTAAAACACACGCACACTCCCACCTCCTGAATCAACGCAGCCGGTGCACGTGCTTCTGGGCACAGTCAGGTCTCGACTCCCCACTTGCCCGCCACCCAATCTGAGGGAAATGATTCGAGCTCTGTCGAGTCTCAGTCTTTCCACTGTCGATGGGGGCGATACTGCCGGTCACCCACATGGGTGTTTCAGGGTCCAGCAAGAACACTAAAAATGGGGAGCGGCTCTTTACATGCTGTAGTTCTGCATTAAAAACTGCTTAAAAGTGGGAGTGAGTATTTCTAGGCCTAAGGCAAGGCATCAACGCATCAAGGAGGTCAGTGGCTTGAGGTACCCTTCTATGTCTAAGAGTGTTCATGAAAGCTGTACGTAATCACAGCAGATAAAATGCCTCAGATTCAAAACAAATGAAGCCAAACACCCTAGAGGTCCCCTCATTCCACCCCTAATTTCACAAATGAGAAACTGGCATCTGACTCCCAGAACCGCGCTCCACATGGTCCCAGGCTGCCTCTTCTGGACCCTGTCAGATGTTCCGTCCCTAGGAGCAAGAATAGGTCAGAACAGATGGTTGGTGTGATCAGCCACTCACGTCCCATAATTTTAGCACCAAGAAGTCTGCGCTCAGCTCGAGTATTTATTCTAATGGACTTTTTTTAGGAAAAGCAAATTGATAATAAATGGTATTTTAAAATAACCAAAACATGGAAAAGCAACAATGTAATTGATCAATGTACTAAAGGTAGCAGGATAAGTTTCAAGCAAACCATTGATAATGGTGTGAAAAATGTTTTTAATGGTGATATTTTCCTCCTCTATTAGTTGACCACCACACGTTAACTAAGACAATTGCCAAAAGGATGAGTAGGACTAGGAACCACATTTTAAAAGGCATCACATCTAAAATGAAGGAGGCGGCAGTTGCCCTCTGGTCTGTCCATCTCAGACCACACCTGGAGCAAGGGGCTCAATTCCCGTTGCCTTTATGGGGACAGTGACAAAAGTGCTCAGGTTCAGGGGAAAGAGGTGAGGCCAGGACAGGGACTAAGGACCCTTCTGGGAGGTTGAGGACGTGGTTTGGGGACTACAAAGGTCACAAGGGTGATACCAATGAGGCCTTGGGAATGAAAGATCTAAATCCAAGGATTTGAACTCTGACTTCAAAGTCCAGGGAAGTCCATTATCTTGAAGAAGTCAAGAGCCAGGAAGCATTGGTGGCTTTTGGGGGAAAAGCCAGAGCTGTGGGGATAGGTCTGCTCAGGCTGAGCAGGGAGAAAATGCTGTGACCTGTGGGTCTTCACACAATCTCCCTCCCAGCTGACTCACGGGGCCATGGTGGATCGGTGACAGGGATTGTCATTCCAATGACACCTTCACAACGGCCTGGTTCCTCCAACTGAGGGCACAGTACAACCAGTCCTTACCTAGCTCTACCCTATAGATGCAGGGGTGAGGCAGACAAGTTGGAGGAGGAAAAGGAGATCAGAGAAAAATGTGGGAAGTAAATGAAACTGGGTAACAAATACGGGTGAACTGAGTTCTTGGAAGGATTTTCTGGCTGACTATAATTACATTCCAGTGACCCATTTTAAGCAATTATGGGTCCACCTGTTTCATCAGGGAGGCTGTCACCAGTCCTGGGATGGCATAGCACCGCTCCAGGTGCAAGGTCCCTTCCTGCTCTGAAACCTGCACCTCTTCCCCAAACACACATCGGCTTCCTGGTGATGCTGGGCCACACCCTCTCTCTGAAAATCTCTGTCATGGATTTATGAAATAATTATATTATTTGCCTTCATCCTGAATCACCACAGGGGTCGGTCTGTCTCTCCACTCACAGGTCCTGCTTTAGGGTCCCAGGACCCTATCTGCATGTCCTGCCAGCTTCCTGCAACTTTCTATTACCCACAGGTAGGGCCAGTTTGCTTCCTGTCCCTAGAGGCCCCCTAGCTCAGCCCTGAACACTCTGTCTGCTAGCAAGGCAGCGGAAGGAGCCCAAGGGCTTCAGCACACGTGAGTTTCATAAGGGGGTCTTCTTACACCCCAAGCTCTCAAGCTGGGCCCCTGCTTCATTCCTAGAGTGGAACTCCATCTCATGCCAGTCACTGCCTGGCCTCAGGCCTTGAACACCTTTTTGAACAGCAACCTAGTGCTTCGTTATTCTCTTTCTCTCATTTATGAGTGTTATTGACATCTCTTCCATTCTGCTCACCGTGTGACCAAATAATAGGTCCGTGATGATGTGCAAAGCCATTTGCTGTCCTGGGTGTCTACCTAGTGGGGCAAGAGACATTAATCAGATGACCATCC